TTGTGATTTCCTCTTACGAGGAACAATATCTTTTGCCCCAACTGGTCTACCACGCTTCAGGCGTGTTTTAGATGCATTTGCTACATTACTGACAGAAGGTCCCTCAGGGATAGCAATTCGTGCTGGCACATTTGCAGCTGGTATATGTGATTTTATCACTTTCTTTGTATCAGTAAATGCATCAGGTAATTGATTTGCAACATTTTACAAGTGAATGATCCTCTGAACTTCTCGTTCACATTGATTTGTGCGAGGGTCAAAATGAGACAATTTCAGGGCATTCCAAGTAAGATCATGTTGTTGTTGTGCCTTTTCTCCCCCTAATGGTGGGAAAACAGTCTTATCAAAATGACAGTCAGCAAATCGTGCTTTAAAGACATCACCTGTCAGGGGTTCAAGATATCTAATAATAAATGGAGAATCAAAACCAATATCAATTCCAAGTCTACGTCGATGACCCATTTTAGTGCGTTGGGGTGGTGTAATTGGAACATATACAGCACAACCAAAAACTCGTATGTGAGAAATATTTGGTTGTTGACCAAAAACAAGTTGCAATGGTGAGTACTTATGATAAGCAGTTGGTCGTATATGAACTAATGATGCAGCATGCAATATGGCATGACCCTAGGCAGAAACAGGTAATTTTGTTCGCATAAGCAAAGGACGACCAATTAACTGAAGTCTTTTAATAAAAGATTCAGCCATACCATTTTGAGTATGAGTGTGTGCAATAGGGTGTTCAACATTAATTCCAACTGACATACAATAATCATCAAAAGCTTGAGAAGAAAATTCAGCGGCATTATCAAGACGAATTGTCTTAATTGGGTAATCAGGAAAGTGTGCCCGTAATTTGATGATTTGAGCAAGGAGTCTAGCAAATGCAACATTATGAGTAGAAAGTAGACAAACATATGACCATCGTGTTGAGGCATCAATTAAGACCATAAAATAGCGAAATGGTCCACATAGTGGATGAATTGGCCCACATATATCCCCGTGAATTCGTTGGGGAGACTCAACAATGACTTTTGAAAGGGATGGTCTGATAATCAACTTACCTTGTGAGCAGGCGATGCATAGATGATTATTTGGTAAGATGATTTTTTGATCCTTTAGTGGATAACCATGTGAATTTTCAATAATTCGATGCATCATTATACTCCATAGGTGACCAAGTCGATCATGCCAAAGCATAAAAAGTTTTGGGTCACAAGATTTTTTATGGATCACAGCATTTGACTCAATTGTTCTAATGGTTGTATAGTATAACCCAGAAGAGAAAACATAGAGTTTTTCTAATATCAGTTTCTTGCCTGAAGTAATGGAAGTAATGTAGAGATATTCCACATTTCTTTCATTTGCAGTCTTAATATGATACCCATTACGGCGCAAGTCTTTAAAACTCAACAGATTTCTCTGAAATCTTGCAGAATATAAGGCATCATTGATTTGTAATTTTGTTCCATGTGGTAAAATGATGTTGGCTCGTCTGGAGCCTTCAATCAAGTCGGTGGGACCTGATATAGTACTAACACTAGCGTCTGTCAGAGTTAAGTGGGAAAAATATTTTTGATCTCGAAGGATTGTATGCGTTGCTCCACTATCTGCAAGACATATGTCTTCACCATTTATTTTGGAACTAGTTAGATCCATTCCTATTCATGCAAATTTCTTTATCAGAAAAGAAACTTTTATAACAAAAAAAACTTTAATACAAACTAGAAAATAAAAACTTTAATACAAGAAAAATACAAGGAAAATAAAAACATAGTATACAGAATATGAAAAGAAAATAAGATTAATTGGTGTGGACATTTCCATCACTAATTAGGAAGTCTATTTTTTCATCACGGTCCTCAAAGAAATCAAATACATCCAAATTTGTGATGTTAACTGGCTCATTATGATCAATGAAATTCATTTCTAGATTTGTGATGTCAACTGGCTCATCATGATCAAGGAAATTCATTTCCTTTAATTTTCCCTTTTCTTTCATTGAGGCTTGGTAAAGTTCAGCCAGATGCTTAGGTGTACGACAAATACTTTGCCAATGCCCTGTCATGCCACACCAATAACAAGTATTATCGTGTGCCTTGGAAGGTTGAGCCACATCCTTCCCTTTTCCCTGTTTCATTTCATGATGATCTCTCCTTTGAGGATTTGGTGTAGATCTCTAATTGCGAAAATGTGAGGATTGATATTCTTCACGATAATAAGAATGATTTCTACCACGACCATATTCATTATTGTGGTAGTTATTTTTACCACGATCATATTCATTTCTACCACCACGACCACGTCCACGTCCACGTCCGCGTCCAAGATCACGGGATGAGGCAACATATGTTTCAGCAATCGGTGTTAATCTAGTTGGACGGGACTGGTGGTTTCTCAACAAAAGCTCATTATTTTGCTCTGCCACAAGTAAACATGATATCAGCTCTGAATATTTTTTAAATCTACGCTCTCGATATTGTTGTTGCAAAAGTACATTCAAGGCGTGAAATGTGGTGAATGTTTTTTCTAGCAAAAGTTCATCAGTAACAGTATCACCACATAATTTCAATGTAGAGCTGATTTTGAATAGAGCAAAGTTATATTCAGCCACAGTTTTAAAATCTTGCAACCTCAGTTGCAGCCAATCAGCCCTGGCCTTTGGGAGGATTACTGTTTTTTTATGATCATATCTTTTTTTTCAAATTATTCCACAAACAAAATGGATCTCTTTCAGTGAGGTATTCAGTTTTTAGTTCCTCACTAATATGGCGTCGGAGGAAAATCATGGCATTTGCTTTATCTTGCAATGATGCATCATTTTTTTTCTTTGATTGTGTCTCAAAGGCCCATGGCATCCAAATGGATCTGAGAATCCAGAATCCAAGATAAATAATTTTTGCCAAAAATATCCAGGGCCACGAATTCCAGCTTTGTCAGATTTGATATTTTCAGAATAATTAGATGTGACAACAATATAAAAATATAATTTAGCATAGTATATAAATAAATGGAATGAAATGAAATAATAACATAATATGAATTATTTAAATAATAAAGGTGGTAAAACCAGGCATAGGGAATAAATTATTAAATAATAAAGGCAATAAAACTAGCCATAAAACATTAAATAATAAAGGTGGTAAGATCGACCATAATTAGTGGATCAGTAAATAATAAAGGTGGTAGAACCGACCATAGTATAAGCACGTATATTATTTAAGTGAACAAATTTATTTTATGAATAATAATCTTTAATTATAATTTTCTTACCCTTTGGAATTAGCAATACTATTTTCTTTAATAAAGCAAACCAACCAAACAATCTATTAAAACTAATATCATAAAATAGATATATAGTTGGGATAGAAAGAGGGAGAGAAAGCTTTTTCTTCTATAGAGCTCGTGCTAATAACGTATAATAAATTATGTATATATATAAAGCAAAGCTTTCAGAGAGAGACAGAGAGACGGAGAACAAAAAAGAGAGAAATGAAAACTTTATTCAAGTATGTCCTCCAATAGCAAATACACATGGCCATATATATAGGCTCATATTTTAGCTTCCTAAACAAGCCATTATAAAGCTTTTAGTATTAGCAAAATTGTGCTTCCTCCATAAGCCACGGATGACTTAATGTTGTGGGCCCCATACAATAATATATACATAACAATCTCTTCTTTTTTTCTTCCATTCTATTTTTTTTTCTTTTCCGCCAAATGCAGCATAAGGGGTTATGTGCCACAAAATGACACTAAAGAGTGATTAAATACCATTAAGCCTTATAAAACACACAATTAACTAAGCAAACGTTTCGTATGGTGAAAAAGAAAAGAAACGATACCATTAATTACAAAAGAAAAAAAATAAAATGAGATAATAGTGTTAAATACTTATCGGTGTTTAGTTGACAAATTTGATGTTAATAATGTTTCATTGAAAATGTTAGCATTTTCACCCATTTTTGAAAAAACAACAATATTTTTTATTTTTTCCTGACACATAGAAAAGACAACAAAATTGACTCACCAAATTTTAATGTATTGATCTAAATCCTTTCATTTCCTCCCAATATTTTATTCCAAACATAAAAAATCATATCTCCAAATTTTTTTTTTTTCCCAACCAAACTGGGAAGTGTTTCACTGTAATATTACATTAATTATTTGTTACAAAGGTTGAAACATGTCACAAAATAATCTTAAGCTAATCGGACTAATAGACAAATAGAGTTAAAACGAGTTTTATTCCCAAAATCTAACATGGTAAGATTAATTATATAAGCTAATTGAATTAACATAATTGTAATGGACAATACTTAAATCTCACAGGTGAGGAAATACTCCATTTTTATCATTTATGTGGTATACTTAGTTGGATGGTAGGATAGTCTTTCGGTGTGTAGATGAACAGTATCTAGTGTATCAAGTACAGGTTCGAATCCTCTCCGCTGCGCAAGTCTTCGACTTAAATTCAATATCCAGTGTACCAAGTACAGGTTCGAATCTCCTTCGCTGCGCAAGTCTTCGACTTAAATTTCACCCGTGTCAAGTAAGATGTTTTCCAATTAGAAGACTTTTGAAAAATGACAAATGGACACCTCTTTTTTAATTATAAAATTTAAAAAAGGTCAAAGTAGAATACCCCTAACTATTTATCTTTATAATTTCTAATTTAGTAATTAAAGATATACTCCAAAAATGAGATAAAATACAAGGGTAACAAATATTAAATGTATAAAGTTGAAATATATAAAAACATATATTAAGGTCAACTTTATATTAGATAAAGAGTCATACCACTGTGTGGTGCCCAGTTAAAAATACACATGGCTAACTAACTAACTAAAACTAATATAGTGCTCGCTCAGACAGCCTTACCAAAATCTTCGCTTCACCGATCCTCTCTGTTGAATTCCAGAGCACAACTGTCTGGTTGCCGCGAAAATCTCGTAAGCCCCCGACTCTCTCTCTGTTTCTCTCTCCTCTTTCTCTCTCTATGTTTTTCACCTCCGAATCGCTTCCATTTGGTTGTCGCCTCCTCGCAACCCCCGAAACGAGGCAGCCTCCAATTTTCTCTCCTTCTACATTACAATGTTCTATCAAATCTTCAAAACCTAAAATCAAGAATCAAATTTATTTCATTGATAATTACACTTAGTGTTGTTTTCAATTATATATATACACATGTCTATTTCTGTGATGGAATTCAGAAGAGGAAGATTGGTGGTGTTGATTGTTTTTGTGCTTCAATTGTGTTTGGTATCAGCCAATTTTGTGTTCAATGTGCAGCACAAATTTGCGGGGCGTGAGAGGTCTTTGAGTGCATACAAGGCCCATGATATCCGCCGGCATGGTAGGGTTCTCGCCGGAGTTGATCTTCCCATGGGTGGCAATGCCAATCCCAACACTGCAGGGTTAGTTGTTTTCCTTCTTTACTTCAATTATTATTATTTTCTTCCTTCTAGAATTATATGGGTTTTATTGTAAATTTCATTTGCATTTTATAGATGGTATTAATTGTTGTTGTTATTGTTATTAATGTGTAATTATTCTATTGATTGTGTAGATGCTTTTGTTTGATTTTTAGATGAATAAACGCAGTGCCAATTTGATTTCCTTAAACTTTTTATACCGTTGAAGTAGCTAGAGTCTCTGGGTGATAATGAAGATGGCTAGAGTCCAACTCCTCCGGGACTTCCTTGATGCATGTGGCTCTGGGTGGTTGCATGTATCCGGAGGGAAACTCATACTTTGAAAGAGAGTGGGGACGCCCTGTGTTATCAGGAAAATACAATCTTCATGTTTCTTTTTATTTTATTATTATTTTTGATACCTTTTGTGACTCTTCATTGTGACTTGGAGGTCATGGGTTTGAATCAAGGAAACAACTGCAAGCAATGACGGGAGCCTCGTGCATTGGGCTAGCCCTTAACCTTTTGTGACTCCCTTTGATTTATGGGACATTAGGACAAGAGAATAATATAATACATGTGTTATTTTGAATTTCAAAATTTTTTTTTTGGGTATTTGATTGCGGTTTTAAATACATGTATTAGTTGTTTATATATATATGTATGTATGTATGCAATTGTACGTTGATTTCTATATGTTTATTTGTTGTATATGGTTGATGAATCAGGCTCTATTTCGCTAAGATTGGACTTGGGACTCCTTCGAACGACTATCATGTGCAGGTCGATACGGGAAGTAATATTCTATGGGTAAATTGTGCTGGCTGCGAAAAATGTCCTACGAAAAGTAACCTTGGGGTATGCCCTCTTTATCATCTGAATCACTTTTATCCAATGACCACGTTTAGAGCATTTGCATATATTGACTAGAAGAGTTCTGTTATATACTATGTTACATGATAGACTCAGGCACGTGTGTCGGGTACGAGTATTTATCCGTGTGTCAGACGTGTCAAATCTCTAAACAAGATGACAAACAAACACTGCTAAATATTTATTTTATTTAATTAGTTTAATATTCTAGAGTAGATTAATGTTTTTATCTAATATAGTGTTCAATATAGGATTTTAACTCATTTCAAGTAATAATACAATAAAATTGAATGATTGGATATACTTTTTAACTACATGTCCAACCAATAGTGTTGGACACATATTCCATACCTATGTCCAAGCAATATGTGTCTGACACGGGTACTTTACTACTTTTGAAGGGTCCATGTAACATAGGTTATAGACTTTGTCATGGTTTCCAAATAAATGAGTCTCGAAAGATAAATTTATTACCATGGTTATTAACTTATTCTATTACAGATACAACTGAGACCGTACGACCCAAAGGGCTCCAAAACAGCAAAAATGATTGCTTGTGATCAAGATTTTTGCACTACTGCACTGGAAAAAGTTCCAATTGCTGGTTGCAGGGCTGGAGCACGTTGTCAATATATTGTTACTTATGCAGATGGGAGCGGTACTGAAGGATTCTTTGTTCAAGATAATTTACAAATGAATAGAGTATCTGGAAATCTTCAAACGACATCCATGAATGGTACTATTGCCTTTGGGTGAGTTCACAATTCTACTTCAAGAATGTAGTGTCATATCAATAAATAAATTTCCATATGTACTTGCCAGTACCTTTTGGAACTGGTATATACATGAAATAATCAAACACATGGCTTAACTGTTTTGCTCATGATCTATCTGCCTCATGGTAACAACTCAACAAGCCTTACCTTTTCTTGCAGGTTGTCTTCCATTTGTTGCTAGCTTGATATGCATCTAGTAGCAAGTAGGAATGCATAATCTAATTTGGAATAAAAACTATTATTAATCATGATGCTGTTCACTTGTCATTCTATAAATCACACTGCTGGGCTGTAGAAAGTGTTGTTATACCACATTACTTGCTCCTTCGTTTAAGAACCTCGAGAAATGATGTGATGATCCGTTGACTGTGTACTTCATCATGCTTCTTAGGTATATCATAGTTAGCCTAACAATACCACATTACTTGCTCCTTCTTTTAATGCACATTGCTACAAGTGATATCCAAGTAGTGAAGTTGCTATTTAGCCGGTAAACATTAGCGATTACTTAGAAGAAAAGAAAAGAAAAGAAAAATATTTTAGCAATAGCAATAACAATGCATGATCGACCTAATGATCAATGGAATGTATCAATTTTTTCAATGTTAGAATTGTACCTTTTTTTTTTTTTTTTTTTCATGAAGGTCAATATAAGGTCATATATATCACTAGTAGCAAGATTTTTACCTTCCTTCCAAGTTAGTTTTGTGATACTTGTGTAGATGCTTCTTTCAAGTTATTTTACTCTATGTTGAAGGCCATGTGCTGGATGAGTTTAAACTGGTGGATTTTCTATATGTCCTTTGATATTTTCTCCCCCCTGCATCTCTAGTTCTTTCAGTCATTTGTTCCTAGATATTTTAAATGTTTAACTCTAGTTCTTGATTTGTGGTTCCTTCGCAGGCCTAATCTTTTTTTGAAATATGATCCATTTTGTTAGCACATTTGCTTTTGCTATGCTGCTTCTAGGATTTAGATATTTTTGTGGTATAAAATAGGTGTGGATCAAAACAATCTGGGGAGCTAGGTTCATCTTCAGAAGCGGTTGATGGAATATTGGGTTTTGGTCAAGCAAATTCTTCCATGATCTCGCAGCTAGCATCAGCTGGAAAGGTGAAAAAAATATTTGCACATTGCTTGGATGGTAAGAAAGGAGGTGGAGTTTTTGCTCTTGGAGAAGTGGTGCAGCCAAAAATAAAATCAACTCCAATAGTCCCAAATCAGTACGTCATATATATTTTGACTTTTCATTTAATAGCGTTTCCTTCACAAGTTGGATATGGTTTGTTTTCATTACAATTAAATGTCCAATTGTCTTTGCATCTGTTTAGACAACCTGGCTGTTTAGTTCAGCACTGACAATCTGTGTGAAAGTTAGCATATAAAGTGGACATAGTGGTTTCCTCTTCTGTGATGTAGTCATCCTTTTCCTCTCTCTCTCTCTCAATTTAAATCATTCTTTCATTGTTGTGAATTAAGGTTTAAATGTGGTTTTCTTTTCTTTCATATGCTTTGAATTACTACCGGTGCCCACTTCTACATGCATCAAATTTTGTGGTATGTTTGGAACATGTATATATAATGGTTCATCTATTCTTACCTATGGCCAATCAACCATGCTGCTTCATGTTTGGTAATTTTTTGAGGAATTCCATCAATAGCTCTAAGTTAGATTTTTTATGTTCTTTTGGTAGCAATATTATTATTTTATTATATTACTTTTGCTATGATTTATGGTAATCTTCCATAGCAATACTGTTATTTGGTTATATTACTTCTGTTATGATTTGTGGTTACCTGAGCAACAAGTCTAAATAACGTGCTTCATTTCTGGACAGGAGTGTTTAAATTTTTATTTTTTTCCTGAATGTGAGTGTTTAATTTTTCTTTTTACATTTCAAGAAGTCAACTCTGTGCAAACACATTAGAAGATTGTCCAAATGTTCAACATTTGACTTTCATTCTAGAGCGTAAGTGCTCAAGAAGCCTTGTAGTTGCAAAGTAGAAGAAGATGCTAAGAGGCCTCTCCTTTTTCTACTAAAAAGAAAACAATTTAAAGAAGAATATAGTGAAAGAATTGAGATACGCCAAAGAATGAAGAAGAGTAGTGTTAAAATATATATATGAAAGATTGAAGAGAGAAGTAATGATAGAACAACACGCGAATATAACATAGTTCAGCCACTAGGGGTTACATTTACGACACATAAAGCCCAAAGGGCTACATCACTTTTATTATGAACTCTATTTTTATTCACAATACAATGGCGGAGACTCCTCTATACAGGAGAAGAAATTATGAGAATGGAAATAGTTAGAAAATAGGAAGCAACCAACGGGCCAGTGGCCTAGCCGTATCAACCTCTTACTTTCCAAAAGGAGGTCATGGGTTCAAGTTTCAGAAGAGACAAGTTTGTGTGAGTACCAACTAGGAAGAAAAAAAAAAAAAAAATAGAAAATATGAAGCAACATCAATACTAGAGGATTTTTCTCCACTGATTCCTCTAGTAACGGTAAATCTTCAATAATAGGAAAGAACATCAATACTGAAGGATTTTCCTCCATTGATTCCTCCAGTAAATCTTTAACAAGTAGGAAAGCCATAAAAATGAAAAAATTCTTGTCAGAAAAGCGAAGGTACTTTCTCCTCCAATGTTTCCCCTCTTTGCAAGATCATATTTTGAAAGGAGGCATGGGTGACAAAATAAAGAACAGTAAAATAACAATAAAAAGTAGAAAAAGAAGTTGAGAGAATCCCCGTGCCATAGCCATATAAATTCCTTCTATAGTCCCTTGATGTAGATCTACTCTTTGACATTTGGCATTTGGGTGCAGATTTATGAGATTGTGAAGCTAAATAGTTATTTTACTTGCGTGGTCAAATTCTTCTATTGACACCAAAGAACTAAGAGTGACCACAGGCCATTTCTTTAACTAGCTAATGGTAATGGCCAAATTACCTTCTGCTGTTCACAATGATTCATGAGATGTGTGAGTCTCAACTTTCTCACATCCATATGCAAGAACTAGAAGAAATCCTATATTGCAAGTGTTGGTCAAAGTGCATTATATGCTTAACTTTACTTATGCAGCTATACTCTTGGAGATATATTATAGTATAATCATGTTGATCTAGTCTTGGTTGTCACTAATTGACATCCCTTGTTGTCTAATGTGGCATTTTTTTACTATTGCCACTTGTAAACATGTATGATGATGGAATTTTTGTCGGTTATTTTCTTGCGACAAGGTTTACTGCACTCCACTATTACATTTTTCGCCTGCTCATCTTTTCTCTAGGGATGCTCCCTTTCCTCTGAAAACTTTAATAACCAACATTTTTTAAATAAATGTGGTTGAAATTAGGTTTGCAACTGGGTGAGCTAACCAAAACCCAACTTGTGTTCAACCATATTTTTCTGACTCAAACAACCATTTTTACAATTATGGCTTGGGCTGAATTTTTTTAACCTGAACTTAATTAGGGTTGGGCTTGGGTTGAGTTGTCAACAACCCATATCCAACCTAAACTGGAATTGTAACATGACTTTTATATATTTATAATTATAATTTTAAATATAATATATATTTTTACAATCATGATCAACCTTCTTTCAACTTTCTCTTTTCTTTGGATCTTGATTTGATGTATATTTTCCTTAGAAAATGAGTTTCTTGAGAATTTGTTTACGTTTTTATTTTATTTTTATTTTTTATATATTTACATTCAAATTTTTTTTTGTTTTTTTTTTTATACGTAGGAGTACCCAAACCCCAGACTAACTCAAGTCAACCAATTTTCAGTTCGATTTTTTAACCCAAGCTTAAACATTGGATTGTGGGTTGGGCTCAGGTTGGGGATCTTGGGTTGAAGGTCGGGTTGGGTTGGACTTGGGTTAAAGGTTTTATACCTGGGGTTGAGCCAGGGTTGTCTCCTCAATCTCCCAACTTGCCTGAGTTACCTTAGTCGAAATGCAAATGTTAAGATAGGGATGTAGAAAAAGAAATGATAAATTTTAAATGATTACATTCATGAAATGGTTGAACAACTCAACTAAGGTTTTTTTATTTTTTATTCCAGACTATTTGGGATCAACTACATGAATGTTGTTGCCATTCTCTCAGTTAAACTACATGTTACAATATCCTTTCTTATTATCTCAACCCACATTAGTTTTGGTCTTCCCCTTTCCTTAGCATCACCTATATGTACCACGTCACTCTCACTGATGCAATCATTGGTCTTTGTGCACAGCCATACCCTTTTAATGGCTTGAAACCTTGGGGCCAACAATGTCCATACCACCTAAGTCTAGTCTCTCTAATCTTATCACTAATAGGTGCCAAACTTATTTTCTCTCTCAATTTTTTGGTTTGTATATCTTCTCTAGTCACTCTTATCATCCATCTTAACAACTTCATTATCACTCCATAAACTTGTTGTTCTTGCCCTTTTTTTTTAGCCCAACAGTCTGCACCATATAAAATAGTTTGCCTAATAACTGTTCTATAAATTTTTCCTTTTAATTTATATGGCAATCATTTATCACACAAAATGCCACTAGCTTGTCTCCATTTTGACCAACCTGCAAAAATTCTACCAGTTATATCACCATCTATCTCACCATCCTTTTGTATAAATGTCCCTAAATACCGAAAGTGTTCATTAACTCATTAATATCTGACTCTTTATTAAATTTGCATTCCATATATTCATTTTTAGTTTTACTAACCCTTAACCCTTTTGATTCTAATGTGTTTCTCCACCTTTCTAATTTAGTTGCTAAGTTTTCTTTAGAAGTGTCCAATACTACATGTCATAGGCAAACAACATGCACCAATGAATGTTTTATGGTAAAAATCTTTTATGGTCTCATCTAAAATTAATGTAAATATAAATATGGACAATGTAGACTCTTGGTGCAACCCCACATGTACATGAAAATCTGTAATCTCACTGCATGTAGCGTGAACTCTAGTTCAGTATTTAGATACATATTTTGAATAATGGTAAATCAATTAATGATATAGTACTCCAAAAGCTTAAGCTGTTAAAGAGGGTGTAACTTAAATATTTAAATCCTTCAACATGCCCCCTCATGTGTGGCCTTCTTTTGGTCCAACACATAAGTTTCAATTTTTAAATCAGGGTGACGGTGAGGTTTGAACACAAGACCTACCTTGCTCTGATACCATGTTAACAACCATCTACTCCAAAAACTTAAGCTGTTAGAGAGGGTGTAACTTAAATATTAAAATCCTTCAACATAATAAATGTGCTATTGCATGACGTTTTTTTCCTTCTGAAGTTCTTGCTTTTCTTTCCTTAATCTTTACTAGAATCTTGTCTGAATTTTATTTAATTATTATTATTATTTTTTGTAATCCTAGGGCACACTACAATATTATTATGAAGGCAATTGAGGTGGGTAGTGATGTTCTACAACTTCCCAAAGATGCAGACATTGCATCTGGGAGAAAGACAGTAATTGACAGTGGCACAACCTTGGCTTATCTTCCACAGAGTGTGTTTGACCCTCTAATAAAAAAGGTATGTGAAAATTTTCAATGCTTATCCATTTGAAGTTTGCCTCCAGAGTACTTACATAATTTTTTTTTTTTCCTTTTTAAATTAGATTGTGGCTCGGCAACCTAAATTGAATTTTCGTACTGTTGAAGAACAGTTCAAATGCTTTAAATACACCGGAAAGTAAGGACCCGTACCACATGCTTCTTTTACTGTTGTTTCCGTTTCAGGAAATGTTATATATATGATGTCTGAAGTTCTTTTTTTCCTTGCAATATTGAAACAGGTTAGCATCAAGAATTTCATCTATTGGTTTTCCCAAAATATATTATTATTGAATTTATTTGTGTTGAACACAAGTTCTGTTTGAAAGCGATTTAATCCAGTTGGTGCAGCGATGATGTGAAGATCCCTCTTATGTTTTCCTTTTCTTTGCTCTTGCAGAGTGGACGATGGATTTCCAGCCGTCACTTTTCGTTTCGAGAATTCTCTTTCTTTGAAAATTTATCCTCGTGATTATTTGTTCCAATTAAATGTAAGTATAATGTGTTTCAGAACTTCAGAATACCTCATCTGTTTCTCTAAATCAATAACTCAGTCTGAGGTGCTTGGAATTGTAATGGCGTTTTCATATTAAAATCATGCCATCTCATTTCAATCCTTGGACAAATATTCTAAGGAAACAAGGTCACGTTTCTATCAAAGACTGGGTTCTACCCGTGGTATCTATAGTTCATAATGCAATATTTTGTTTTTGGTTTTGCTTTTGTACTGTATTTAATTTCTTACTTCTCGATTTAATATATATATGGTGATGGGTACTGAACTGAAATATATAAACTGAACTGGTAAAAATGTTATAGTATGTGCAGCATGAGATGAGGAGTCTTAGACAGTTGGACTCATACAGTGGGTGAATCCAACGCTACTTTTGGGCAGAGCTTATGGAAAGGGGTTGGAGATTTGGGGATACGATTGGAGCTATTGAGATGTGCACAACAATGTTAAAACAAAGAACAATAAGAAAGAGAAGATATAGACATAGGAGAGATTAAAGAAGATCCATCATTATAAGTCTTCAAAATTCTGGAGTGAAATTTTTTATTTATCGAATCTTTTTGAATTGTCTCTACAAGATTTGTTCACCCAAAACTGTAGTTAACACTCGATATCAAAAACTCCCAGTAGACAAATGATTCTAAAAGTAAAATTCAAGTAATTTCAAAAAAGAAAAGGACTAGTCCAAAACCCATATCAAACACCTAGTAACCTAGAGACCAACAAATATAACTGTACTAGTTATCCCTAATCTTGAAAATTACTAACATATCCCTACTTAAAGAAAAAATATGATGTTTCTAATGAGAGGTGAAATGGCTGGTACAGTTGGTTCACTAGTTGGCTTGTGACTTTTACCCCCTTTTCTCCTTTTAGTATGCATTTGGAGTAGCTACTTCAATATTAGGAACGTTTCCCTATAATTAGAGAGATGTATGAGTGGTAATTGTTTTTGGAGTGTTGTGCAACAAGTCCTAAGTAGAAAATTTTTGAGATAGTTTTGAGGCCCTTTATGCTTTATGGTACATCGTGTTTGTGGTAGACATTAGAATCTTTATCTTGTTGTCAAGAAAGGGGTCTTCTTAAAATGGAGACACTGAGGTTGCATCATCGAATTGTTAAAAGATGGCACGGATTGATGCTAAAATCTGTTGAAGTTGTTTGTGGCTGATCTGTCATCTGCGACAATAACAGATGAATACTCTTGTACAGAGGAGCGATTCAATTCTACTTGTATTTGCCAAAAGGTGAGAATGGTATGATAGACTGTAGTGTTGAATGATGAAGAAGAATTTATCCGGTCGACATTGATTAGTTTGGATTGGAATTCAAGGCCTTGATTAGTTGGATTGGAATTTGCTTTTTATATACTGTTAGCATATAAGACCAAAATCGTTTTATGCTAGAGAATGCTAAGAATTTGAGACTTGAGGTTAGCCATATATTGTGGTGTATAATGCTGAGAGTCGAGAGACAAAGTGCCTATGTAGTGACTTTAGATGATTACATGATGTTGGGATGGATGATATAGAAAAAGAGAGATTGAGCAACAAATGCATTCATGAAAAGTTAAAGGGCCACAAAATTAAAAAGAAGTCATTGAAATGTTAAAAGTGACCACAAAAATCCATGAAAAGTTTAAATGTAGCCACAAGATTTTTTTTTTTTTTTTTTCTTTTTTAATTAAAAAAAATGATTCCGGGAAAAAGTTTTGTAATATGGTATGGTCATGTCCAATGAAGACCATGATTACAGCTTTAAGAGGGAGCGATCTGATTGATGCTAAAGGTGCAACTAGGACAAAGGGTAGACCTTAATGTCAAAAGGATTGTTGTAAGCTTGTAAGTCGCCCCAGATTGTCAAGAGATAAGGGCTTGTCAAGTTCAAAAATTGCTAACCTATACAATCCCCTGAGCAAGACTTTGTGGTATCATGGACTACGTGTTAACAAAGGTTAGTAGAACTCAGGGCACAACACACTATCCATTTAAACACATCGACTTCTAGAGAATAAAATTTTCGCACTGGAGAATATAGAATGACGAACATAAGTGAGGAATGAGGATAGTGATAGAGCACAACAAAATTTAGGTATCACATATCTTTGTGTTTGGGTGAGAGTTTCTGATATTGTGTGTGTTGGGGTCCACCCACATTATAACGTAATGTCAAGGCGATGATATACTCTTATCTTCTGTGATTATCTCACGCAGGAGATTGTTAGAGAGGATTACTTTCATTGTATCTTGAAAGGGTTATAACTCTTGTTTTAAAGGACTACCTTTATTGTATTTAAAAGGACACTTCATGTGGTTCGTGTGGAGAATTGTGAGGAGATTTTAGATTTTCCTTTAGTGATTGGGTACGTGAGGGTTAAGGGTGTAGAGTGAAATTTCTGTGTAATCCTCTATCTTATACAATTTACAATCTTGAGTGGAAATCTTGTCCGTGGACGTAGCCCTGTTTTTGGGTGAATTACGTTTATCTCCCGTGTTTTGTTTTCCACGTGATTTGTTTCTGTGGATGGTTGGTTTATTTGTTATGGGTAATTGTTTATTTCCCCAACAATTGGTATAAGAGCCATAGGCTTACACACAAGCTATTTGATTAAAAAGTTTTTGATCTAGATTTTTTGTCATAACACTGGTGTTGTTTGTCTTAGGCACTTATGATAATCATGGCTGGTAATATTGCTTCACAATTTAAACTTACTTATATATATATATATATATATATATATATATATATATATTGCTTCACAATTTAAGGCGGAGAGATTTGATGGCAAGGGTAGGTTCACTCTTTGGCAAAGTAGAGTGAAGGACATCCTAGTTTAACAAGGCTTACATCGAGCTTTAAAGGGAAATGATGGAAAGCCGGAAAAGATGGCAGATCATGAGTAGGAAGATGTAGAGTTGCGATGTCTCAGTACTATTCAGCTCTGTATCGGAGATAATATCATTAACAATGTTAATGGAGAGAATTCGGCACCAAAATTGTGGGAGAAGCTTGAGAAGTTGTATTTAGCAAAGGGTCTCACACAAAAGCCAATATAAAGCGTGATCTGTATAAGCTGAAGATAGAGGAAGGCGGAAATCTCTTGGAACACATGAATGTATTTCATGGTATCATTGATCAACTTGTAAAAGTTGATGTTAAAATTAAGGAAGAAGACAAGACCTTATTACTTATTACGTCACTTCCGGATTCGTATGAGACCATTTTGACTACCATCTTATATGGAAAGGAAACATTGAAGATGGAGGATGTTGAGTCTACTCTCTTGTCTAATGATAAGAGGAGGGACGCTGGTGATATGAGCCATGACTCAGCCATGGTTGCTTATGGTCAGAATAGGGGAAGGCAGTATTCCCATAAATCTAACAACAATAGGTCTAGATTAACGGGAGGAAAGGGCAAGCAGTGCTATGGATGTCGTGAATGGGGCCACATCAGAAAGGACTGTCCACTTGGAAAGGGAATGGAAGATGGCGGCAAGAATAATGCATCTATCGCATGTGCTCCAAACAAAGACTTTGGAGATGCTCTCATAATTTCCAAAGGTAACACTCTTACTCAACATGACTAGATATTAAATTTGGGTTCTACGAACCATATTTGCTCCGTGAAAAAATATTTTGATTCGTTTGAAGGACTTGAGAATAGTTCTTTATGCCCAATGGTGATAAGTGTACTGTGAATGGTGTGGGAACGGTAAAAATCAATATGTTTGATGGAGTGGTACGCACTTAGAGGGACATTGCCTGCGTACCAAAGTTGTGGTGTAATTTGATATCATTGAGCTGTTTGAATTCCATAGACTGCAAGTGCTCCATTGCAGAAGGAGTCATGAAAATTACGAAGGATTGCATGGTGTTAATGCAAGGAGAAAAGAGTGGTGGATTCTATCATTTGGTGAGGGGTACCAATGGTACTTGGACTTCGATTGCTGATTGGAAACGGGCATGTGAAAGCAAGATCTTGCGACAGGTCTCATTGGTAAATGCAATAGAGATGGAGGTGACGCGTTTCCAGACAAATGATGATGAGTTAGAAATTCTTGCTTGTGAAGTGGTCTCATCGAGGTCCTCTTTCAGAGTCACTTGATCGTGTTGACTTGGTTCAACTACATGTATGCATTAGCCATGGAATCAAGGTGGAGTTTGAATTTGGTTCAGTTATGTGTAGCTGGTATACAGAAAGGCCAATGGACTACTTGTGGATTTGCAAGTAGAAGTCTCATGCGTTGTACAGGTGTGCTCGATGATTTCTCTTCCTCGTGGGTGGAGGGGGAGATTGTTGGGGTCCACCCACGTTATAACATATGTAACATGAAGGCAATGATAAACTCGTATCTTCTGTGATTAGCTCATGTGGGAGATTGTTAGAGAGGATTACTTTCATTGTATTTAAAAGGACACTTCGTGTGAAGAACTGTGAGAAGAGATTTTAGATTTTCTTTGTGAGTGATTGGGTACGTGAGGGTTGGGGGTGTAGAGTGAAATCTCTGTGTAATCCTCTATCTTGTGCAGTTTACAATCTTGAGTGGAAAGCTTGTTCTCTGTGGACGTAGTCCTGCTTTTGGGTGAACCACATATATCTCCTGTGTTTTGTTTCCCACGTGATTTGTTTCTGTGAATGGTTGGGTTATTTGTTGTGGGTAATTGTTTATTTCCCCAACAGTATGTTTTTATTTTTTAATCGAAATCTACATCCATACATGAAGCTTATTGGAGAAGGTATGTTCGTGGTGGCAGACATTGCTATGGCACTTCATAGTTTTAAGTGCTATGGCACTCAATATGGTTTATATTGTTTTGTTAGTATTTTTATAATACTTGGTTTCTTACTTTTGGTTCTCATATCACCTATTATTCTTTCACTTAATGACCTCCCTGATGTCATGTTTGCAGGGTGATGAGTGGTGTATTGGCTGGCAGAACAGTGGGAGCGGGGTGAAATCAAAGAATGGAAAGGAATTGATTCTTTTGGGAGGTTTGGTTCAATTTTATTTTTTACTTTTGGATCAATGTCACATAAACTTTAGCAGCTTTTGAGAATCTTAACTCCCAACTTTTTGCATTTTGGTCAAGTTATGTCCCAGATGTGTTAGATCAAGTATCTTGTCTATGAGCTATCCTAACCGCCTTACCAATCAGTTGATGTTTAACCAGAGCCCTATAATGACGGTTGGTTTTAGTTGACAACCAGTGTATATCATCACCTGCAATCCTTTTAATATTTAACGATGTATTCTGTTAGTTATAGGCCATATTGTTTTATGCCATTTCATTTACCCACATCATTCTGACCTTTTTGTCCTGTCCTGCAGTTTGAACCATGTAAACCCTAGTCAATGGCATTTATGAACGAACCATTTCAAACTTTTTTTCCCTCTTGGAATCTGTCCATGGTGCTATCCATAATTCTTTTTTATTATTTATTTATATATTTTATTTTTTGTTTTGGGGTGGGGGGTTATGACATGTACATCCGTCTCTTAATTAAGATATGAAACCTACATATTCCCCCAGCTAAAGATACCGCACAAATTATACTTCTGCCCATCACTTGATGTTTTTTTATCATGCACTCCTCCATCTGATCATCCTCGTCTTTGCTATACTTGCGTATTATAGAGAGATCCAGTCTCTTAAGTACTCTATCAGACTTTCTTACTATGTTACTCTTCTTTGATTGTTTAGAAAACTGATTTATATGTTTTCCTAACAGTAAAATACTCATTCTGGTCCTTTCTAGTTCCTATTGGTCACATCTACTGATTTCACTTTCTTGGGGTGCATAGTGCATGGTCTGCTGCCTCTGTTATTTGCATACTTAAGGGTTATATTTCTGATTGGTTCTGAATTTCATGTCACCTCTGTATATATCTATGCCAAATTTATTGGCCGGTACCAGTTGCACTTGTTTGGATACATACTATATTAGGCATCGTTTAAACTCTTGAGACCAAACAATTGACTTTTCAGAAATCCCCTAAACCTGGAAGGTAATAGACAAGGATAGAAAAGCCCATTGATATGAGGAGCTGCCTTATTTTCTTAGCCACTTCACCTCCTAGAGTGTACCATGTAAGTTGTGTCTGTTTTAAGATGGTGTATTAGGCTGTCTTTTGGTTTTCTGAAAAGTAATCAATATTCATTACAACAACCACCACCAAGCCTTTTTCCCAATTATTTGGGATTGGCTACATGAATCCTATGTTTTCATTCCGCTTTATCTAAGGCCATAGCCTCAGTTAAGCCACATGCTATCATGTCCCTTCTTCTGATGTGATAAAATCTACTATGCTTTCTGATATGCTAGCCTATATCTATAAATTATGTTAATATGCTTCTATATTGAAGCTGTGGTCCATCACAAGTAGATTCTGATTTTATTTGCTAGAATGTTAAAAATCCTTTTCTTTTTCTGATACTCTTTGGTTTACACTGTTGCAATCCTATTTCCTGGATTGAGTCATCATACTTAAAATATGAGCAAAGATTGGTCACGATTGATGGTGGCTTTTTTTTTTTTTAAAAAATAGTGATGAATTTTATATGTCCATTCATCTAACTTTAATTACGTTGCTTTCAAATGCAGATATTGTTCTATCAAATAAAGTATTTGTGTATGATCTTGAAAAAAACACTATTGGATGGGCTGAACACAACTGTGAGTATAATTTCTCGTCCCATTTCTTCTGTGATGCTGGATGGTTTTATAGCTTACTCCTTTTAAATAAAATTATTATTAAATGTCATTTTGTTTAGTTCACACTTCCAGACAGCCATGTTTTATGATTTTTTTCTCCCCTTTTCTCAAATATATCTTGAGAGGTAGGATCTGTTTCATTTGTGCAACAAGTTAATAACAATTCTGTAGGTTCGCTGTTTTACTATTTAAATTGAAGTAGATCTTAGGTAGTTGTTAATAACCATCTAATATAAAAGCTTAAGCTGTTATAGGTACATTATTCCATTCCAACGGAACAAATTTTTTGACTTAACCGCATATAGTATCAAATCGCATTTTGAACATATCAAAATACATATAAAAGAGCCATCTCAAGTCCATTTCCAACACTGAACTGCAGGAGCTCCTTGGTCCTGCTTTTGATCAGGTAGTTCACAATGTGTATCAGGGGTGCATTGCATGCTGGAACCTTTATTGAAATTTGAAGAGGTTGTCTCTATGAAAGATTGACTGCATTGATTGGAGAGCTGTAGAGTCAAATCTTGTATAGATGGTGTGCCACACAACTGGAAAATGTTGGCTCAATCATACAAAGTACGGTTGGAGTTAATTAGGAGAATGAACTGTGGAGCCTACAAAAATGTTGGTTTTGACATAGGCGGTGCAGTGGTGGAAAGAGCCTTGCTTCTTTGTTCATCCTCCGCAGTCAAAGCTGCTAGCAGTGGCTGGCCATGATACTTGACAATTGTGGAGTTTCATGAAGAGCTGACGTGTGTCATGTCTTGAGCGTATCACGTGTCATCAGGAGCCATGTCCACGCGTCAACCAGAAATTGGAGAGTGGTACACTGCAAGATGCAGGAGTGATGCGAGGTCAAGTGGATATGCCATGTGGCTAGCTGAAAGTTCCATGTAGACTATTGTTACGACAAAATGCTGCGAACCAAGAACAAATCAAGAATCACATCAGAAAAGTAAACACGCCATACACAAAGAACACAAAGATTAACATAGTTCAGAAAAGCATATGTCCACGTTGAAGATCTGGCGAAACATTTCACTATGCAAAAATCAGGAGATTACAAGTTTCGACCCCAAACCCAGTTCTCTCTCTCTCTCTCTTGCAGTTTTAAGTTTTCTCTCGTTCCCCACACCAAACCCTAACACCCTTATATACCGGGCTACAAGAGAGTACTAAACAATGTCCACAACCTACAAGAGAAAACCGGGTCAAAAAATTTCCTATTTTTCGACAAAATTCGGGCCACAACACCACAGCTATTATGCTGCCCAGACAAGGACCCTGTGTGTGGGGCGCGTGTGTTTTTGGGTGGGGGGGGGGGATAGATCAGTTCTTAAACTTCTTATGTTATCTCATTAACCATTCGAAACACAAGACTCCTATGTGCATAGCTCTTCAATGCTTAGATACATTTTTTGTGCTTTTGATGTATTTTCTTAAATGTTTCACAGTAATCCTCTTAATTGTATTATTACTTGGAAAACTTGGATTAAACTGAAGACATTCAATTTACTTGCAGGGTTTGTGCATTTATTATTTTTCAATCTGATATGCCTATGTTTGTAGTCAATACATCAATACTCCTTAGATTACTATCTGAAAGGAGAAGGTAACTAAGAAGACTAGCTATCCTAAGCATATGTGCATTCTTCTTTATTACTCCCTCTCAAAACAAACATACATAGCTCATGAGATACTTTTGTATAACACAGTTATGCAGGTAGAAGAAAAACAGAATATTGTATCATGCATATCAATGAATTAGCCAAGTAAAAGTAGGAGTTAAGATATATGCAAACCATATGACACACAGGTTTTTACATGGTTCACCACCAACCATGGTAACCTACATCCATGCCTTGAGAATTCTTGAGGATTCCATTAGCTGCTAATCTTCGGGTGACAAGCAAACCCCCCTTTTTACGAGCTGAAGAGTAATTCACTCCTTTTGAGGCTAAAGAGCACAAACCTCCTTGTTTTTGAGATGCCAAGGGTCATCTCCTCTTTTGCAGGCTCAGACTTAACCTTTACAATGGTCCACAAGTAGTTCAGTTGCCAAGTGAATCACTTGGAATTCTCTCAAAAATTTGGTAGAAGATTTGAGGTAACCATCTACGTGAATATCCCTTTAATGGATGGTTATAACAATAAAGCTCTCAACCTAGAGTCATAAGTATTTCAAAGTAAAAGCTCAACTTAGGTTGTATAGTGAAGATGCATAACGGCGAGTTTAACTCGCATTCACTCACTCAGAATAGAGTACTGGTTTTGTACTCTTTCTCACTCAATTCACTCACTCACATGTGTATAGGTCTCTGTACACTCGCTCAAGAACTCACACACAGATGCACAGGCGTGTGCTCTGTTTCACTATACAGAAGCACTGGTTCAAATGCTCTGTTTTACTTGCAGAAGCACTGGTTCAAGTGTTCTGTTTCACTCACACAGAAGCACTTGTTTAGGTGCTCTGTCTCACCCACACGCTCTCTCACATACAGAAGTGCTGGTGATTGTGTTGTTTCTCTCATAATCAACTCACCTAGAGTATGGTATAAGAACTCCACTCTCAGTTCCACTCTTTCCTCACTCAAGTATTGGTCTCTGACTCTCTATACTCGGTACTCACACTCAAGCTTACACCAGTGTACTGGTTTCTGTACACTGTATCACCCACACTCTGCATCTAAGGTGGAGGTTAGTATAATTACTACTCTCAAGTTTGAGACATTGGGACAGAACCGTATTTATAGCCGACTTAAAAAAAAAAATTATTTGGGGAAGATGAAGGAAGAATAAAGAGGCTGTTCGTGTAAGGTGTGTAATGAATTGTACTTGTAAGACGACTATGAGAGGCGTCTTGTGTGATGTGTATGGCATTTTGTGTGTCGTTGAGCCTTTGACCTGTGTTTTGACTCTTTTTCAAACTTCCAACTCGATTCAAATAAGCTGATACTTCAACTTGATTCAAATATATAGCTGTTGGAGTCATCATCACAAATGTTTTTGTATCAGTGTGTGTTTGGCGCAATAAGTGTGAAGTGAGTTGAAGGACAACTATCTGACTCATGTGGAGAAGTCAGACCAGCCGACCTTAGGAAGATGCAAGGAAAGCTTCTCTTGAAAGCTTTGGTCAGTTGTGAAATAGGTGTGAACTAGTCTCGAACTCATAGAAGAGGAATCTCATAAGGAGATATCCATGTGGCTTTTCGTGTATCTGAGAAAGAGATTTAAAGTCTCATGAAGATGTCTAGGGTCATGAAAGAGAGGATGAGACTTTCTCTATAAGATGCCTATGTTCGTGAAGCTTTGTTCAGGAGCTTGGAAGATTACTTATATAAATAATCTTTGAGTCAGTTAGGCAAATTTGCTCCTAAGGACCTATAAGAATAAAGGATTAAATCTTCTTCAAGAAGATTTCATTGAAGTTGCACTGAAGGAGTGAGTACTCCAGTTCATGTGTTAATTCCTAAAGACCTAAATGCATGAAGGCTTATGACACATTGGTTAAGGGACTGAGCTTTTAAAATGAAGTTACTCAACATAACTTTACATTTTAATCTAACATTCCCCCAATCCTAACCTACCCAAGTCTTGATCATCAGATGAGCTTTCCAGCTTTTTGGTTGATCATCTCAATACTTGAGTCGGCCAGCAGTCCTGCCATTGCTGTCTTTAGATTTCATCTTTGTGCTTTATGAAGAGATTTGAGCTTTAGCTTCATGGATCAACTCACATGCCTAAGTTCTTGAACTCTGATATTCATTGTAGTTGAGTTCCTTGGCTGTGAGAATGGACACTATGAACCTTCCTATGTACTTGAGTATAAATGTATATATGAAATGAAACACACTCAAGTAGATAGTTAGCTCACGCATTAATAGATTAGAATCATCGAAACTTCCCAGTTAAGCTTGCTCGGAGAGCCTTTAGGCCAACATATTATATTTGGGAACAAGTGGACCGGTGGGTTCAAATACAGACAATAAATATCATCTTTTGTGTTGAAAAACAATTATGTTACACAGGTTCGTCAAATCTGTTGTTGAGCTTCTTATTGGCATCATATATGCTTAATGGATATTACTTGGCTGGCTCAAATGTTTTGAAACCGTTGCCATATGATTTCGGTGATTAAAGTCCCTTCAGAATTAATGGGAAAATAAACTACAGTTGAATTGACAAGCAGCATTAAACTTGTGGTGAATTCATCCTGGTGTGTACGTGGTCCACCAGTTGATTCTTGTAATTGTGTACGAGGAGTTGTATCTTTCTGCCATGCACTGGGAGCTCCCTTACATTGTTTCTTGCTCAACCTTTCGTCAACCCTTCATGAGTTACCAAGCCATTCACTAATTTGGTAGGATTTTTGAACAGGAAAGTAAGACACCAACAATAACATAAGATGTTTCTCTTTCAATTAAGAGAAAAGATGTAACCTTGGAATATAAGGTGCATAAATTTGAATGGACTTTCTGTGTTTAGATTAAATATTAATTATCACAGGTGAATATTCTAGGTTCTTTATTTCCATTGCATGCTATCCGGGATTCATTTTATGATTGGGAAACCCAACACTAAAATTGAAATGTGGTGCTTTTGTGTTTGTTTAAAGAAAATTGTTGGATGACAAGGTGCTAGTATGTGAAAGAAATTTTAGTGAGTTTATATAAGAACAGCTTTCTTTTGAATAAAAACAATAATCGTTTATGGTTGATTTCAGGCTCTTCGGGCATCAAAGTGAAGGATGAACAGACTAAAGCCGAGTATCTTGTAGGCGCCCATAATATCAATTCCGCTTGCAGTTTGTATGCAGGAAGGAGTTTGACATTGTTGATCTTATTGGTTATCCTTCTCAATTTCATACATTGAGTCATTGCAATTTAGTAGAAAGGCACCCATTGATTTGCTCGATCTGATTCTTCTATTTGTTAACATTGTCTACTGTGCTATAATTTACAACACCCAACTTAAACCAAGTGGCTTCAGAAAGGTTACTCTCAGTGTCATTGCAATCTACTGACTTTGTTCCTGGGAGGTACTTGTATTAAATTATAGAAGAGAGAAGAAAAAAAAATGTAGAACAAGAGGGTAAAATAGTGCTCTTTTGGCACTTCGTGACGATGAAATAGTTCACTAATCTCATTTTAAAATATAGAAGAGCAGAGAAATGTAGAAAAAGAGGGTTCCCTGATAATCAAATAGTTCATTAACATTCATAGTGAGGCCATTATTTTTTTCAGAGAATTTTACTATGTATTATGATGGATTTCAAAACTTTGCGTTTCTCGTTTTCCTTTTTTGTCATGACTGCATTACATTACAGTGATAAAATGAGTGCATCCAAATTTCTCATTTTCCTTCTTGTTAGTAGAGCCAACTAAGAAACCAGTTCATGCCCCAGGGGCATAGCGGCGTTGGTAGGGATCCGAAAGGTAAATTTTTGAAGTCTCGCTTTGGAATCGCACTCTTGACTTGAATAGTGCGTATGTTGTTGGGTCGATACATGTGTCAAAAATTTTAAAATTATCGCATGATGTGCAATGAGACTATTGTAAATCATTGATTTTCCTTGATGTTCCTGTCCAATTAGCCATTCAAACCTAAAGACTTATGTGAAGATCTGCGGTGGGTATCGTGGAGTATATAGTGCAGTAATACACGTTTATTAAAAAATTTATGATTTTTTGCTTGCATCAGTTAAACAAATATAAATTAATGAGGGTATTTTTGTACTTTTGAAAAGATTTTGAAGTGTTAAAAATTCTAACTCTAATTTGGGGGTGTCAGAGTAATTTTTTTAAAAGTTTAACTTACGAGTAATAAGACTAAATTTTAAGAGAGGTCAGGATAATATACTCAAATTTTATTTATGTTCTGTTTGGTTGCTAAGAAGAGGAAAAAAATGAATAGAAAAACAAGATTGGAACCCTATGATTTCCATTCGGTGGGTTTTTTGAAAGAGAACGAACTATCTATTGGATTTGCATTTTCTTTTTTCTCTTTTTATCTAATTTATTTCTATTATTATATTCTCTTTCTAGCTTTTTCCATAATCTATATTATTATTATGGGAAAAAGCTATAAAGAGAATAAGACAAAACGTAAATAAATTCTCAAAGAGTTCGAGAGAGGGGTTAAAAGGTGACATGAAACTCAAATGGATTGGAATTCTTACACGGGTTAAAAAGGATTTGAAAAGTCCCTTGCTTAATAAAGAAGTGTAATTATGATATTAAAAATACAAGAAATAAATGTAATGTAGTGCAAGTACTCTTTTGTAATTTTATTTTAGGATAAATTATAATAATATTCTCTGAGATATGTCATAATGACAATCATATATAAGTTGGGTCTTTTTTTTTAACAATGACACTCCTTATTAGAAATTGGATCCACACAGTCCATTAGAAGATGTGAAAAGTTAAAATTGTCCTTCATTATTTTATTGATTTAAATTTTAGACCTTAGTGCACTAAAACCCCCTCTAGTTTCAAAACGCTGCACAATACCCCCTCATCTTTTTCTTGTGGCAGCAAACAACTTTTATTTACTAGTTATTGCAATTTACCCTCTTTAATTAATGGACGTCAAACTATTGTCGTTAAACTAGTTACGTGCATCTTGAACTCATTATTTTTGACAGAATTATCCTTACAAATCTTTTGGGTCTTTTTGAGACATTTGGTAACTATTTTGTTCTTACTATTCTTCCGATTTGAAATTTAGACCCTCATGTATGAAAACATTAACTTTTGACACTGAACCATTCACATAATAGGTAGCTCGTTGGCTCGTGGTTTAAATTAATTCCAGGCCCCTTTTTATACTTAAGGTCAAACTTGTGGGTCCCACCTTCCATTTAAATGTTTAAAACAATCTGTTTGAACTCCGAACACTTGCCAACGACACAACGCAGTGCAAAACGGATAATAATAACATAAACGAAGATTATAATGGTGTCAAGAAATTTCCCGAACACTTAAATCTACCGCAGGGCCCACCCCGCATCTCCGGCGCACAAAATTTTAAACTAACCCAAATGACTTTCTAAGGGTTCTAAACCCGAATAAACATCCATACAACTCCCGGAACACTGCGGCACGCATTCCCATGCACAACTAAAATAAAAGAAAAATGGTCGAAAAATACCAAAAAATTTGGGACATCACGTGCTGCATAATTCAAACATAATCAAATACAAAGAGCGACAAGAGGCCGAGTGCCACACACCCACTTCGCCGGAGCAAAAGATTCCGACCATCCTGAGTTACCAACCGGCACCGAGGAAGTCGAAGGGCCTTGGAATGCTAGCTGGAAGTGGCAATAAACGGCGAGAGTCCAAGGACGGCAAGACTATAGGTCCAGTTTTGAGCATGCCAAGCTTTTTGCTTCGCGAGGATGGCATCGACATACTCCGTTGGCAGGGGCGGAGCCATGAATGGGCTAACCTGGGCTATAGCCCAGGTCCAATTAAAAAAAAAAAAATTAGTACTACTAAGCCCATGTACTACTCTTCATTTTCCTATCAGCCATTCAACGCATACATAATAAAACATTTAGCCCAACCAAATCCAATCCAAACACATTGTTGCAAATCCAAACACATTATTACCTTGAACTCTCTTTTTCTCAATCTACATAACTCTGTGAACAATTTGAATGTTCAAACTTATAAACAATTAAAGTTTCCTTAAATTGTACGGCAAAGCTAAATTTGGTATCAAGTAAGATAGATAGTTAAACTTTACTCTTTTGAATACAATTTTAAAGTGAAAAAGTGGCTCTATATGTTTCTAATTCAAACCTTTCTTTGCTTGAAATTTTTTTTTTTCTAGTAAATTCTCTGTTTGAAAATTTTCTTTAGCCCGCTCTACTTTCAAATCCTAGCTCCGCCCCTGTCCGTTGGTACACAATACAGAGCCCTGGTGAGCACAGAGAATGGTACAGCGGCATGCTGGCTTTTGGTTCTGGGCTTGTGAGAGAGTTGTGCACAAACACTGTTTGTTTGCCTTTTGTGAATCTAAAGGAAATTTTTATCCTATGGTTGCAAAAGAAGAGCTAGTGGGTACTGCTATGAGAACGCCCCGCTATAGTATTACTCTTTTTTAAAGATGATACGGCGACTTTTTAATCATTATACTAATTGTTACTTTACTATCCAAATTTAAGTTATATTTGAGAAATTAATTCATTTGGTGATTGTATTTAAATTCACAGATTTATCTGAAATTTAAATTTTTTTTTTTTTTTTTTAGTGAGATAATGGTGCAGTTTCAGAACGACGACCTAGAGTACACATGGTTGATTACTACTGTGACAATACCAATTTTGATGACATCGAATCACATAGCAACATTGTCGATGAGTTCTTGGATTCAAATGTTGAAGACGACTTCAATGATGTATGTGTATTAGTGTTATATTTCAAATTACTTGATTCGTTGTTGAAATTTACAGAGCAAGCCAAAGCTGATACATGAGCTTTCGAAGCTAGGAATGAAAGTCATT